CTCGCCTTTAGAGCAGAAGGGTACGGATATTACTATCTCTGTAGATGAAATTGCACAGGCTGTGGAAAGCCTGAAAAATGGAAAAGTTGCTGGAACTGATGAAATTCGCCCTGAAATGCTTAAAACAATAGGCGACCAAGACATGTGCTGGTTAACACGTGTCTGTCAAACTGCAATGACTACGGGGAAGAGAAAAATAGAATAGGGAATGAAGGTTGTAGTACCCCTGTTCAATAAGAGAGATCAGTGGGAGTGCTTTAATTATCGGGGCAATGCCTGATGAAGCTTCCTAGAAAACGTCTATACAAAGGTTTTAGAAAGAAGCGAGGGCGGAATAAATGACTAGAAGATAAAAGAGCAATAGCCCCAAACGTCGCAACTGCTGCAAATCACGGAACGAACCTCCGAAATCAAATCCGTCCACCCGAAAGAAGACCCATGAGACACGCGCAGAAACGTCAGTACTGGTTCATTACCCAACTGTTCAGTTTGTTTCCGCTGTGTATGAACAAATCGTCTACAAACAGTAGTTAGACATGGATCGCGTCCAACGCGGCGACGAATAAGGAGATCGATTTCATCTTGATCGGTAAATGCCGTATCATCCAATACACGGCAATAGTGCTACCATTTAACGCCCGATGTGGCCACAGACTAGTGTGGGCCAGGCAAATGTTCGAGGAAAAGATCGGGAGGAAGAAACTGCGAATGGCAAATCGCAAATAACGACCGAAGGACTCGACAGCCAGGCTACGAGATACTCCATGCGCGCATTTCCAGTGATACTCCATGCTTGAAGGGCAACTGCGACGACGACTATGAGAAGGTTGCTGAGACGCTGCGTAAGGTCAGCCGAGCTGGTAAAATCAAACAGAACGAAAGAAAAGTTCTCAACAGAGACTAATAGCTTACTAGAGAAGCGGTAGAGGATGAAGAGAGGCGGAACCGAACATCGTAGAACTCTCTTATCCACAAGCACATTATACGGAAGTTGCGGAAGACCTCCCGACCGTAGGACTGCGAAAACTATAGAAAACATTCTAAAACCACAAAAACCTCAGACAATGCAGGAGAGAACTACCGCCTTATCAGTTATTGCTTCATGGCGCTGAAGAACTGGGAAGACGCGTTAGCGCCTGACAGATCCAAGATGCAGTCAATCAGCAAGAATTTTTATGCCCAGCTTTTGGCGTTAAAGACAAACGTCTCCCACTGTCACTCCAACATCCAGAACGAAGTGCAGCCCTGGCCCTCATAAGCGAAGTTCGGCACGCAGCGCAGCAAATGAAGGAAGGAAGAGCCCCAGGGACAACTAAAATGATCAGAGCAGGTGGTGTGACACTTTAGAGGGCTCTTGCGCAGAGATTCAGTTGCCACCTGGAAACAGAAAAGATACCATAGAGCTGGAAGAAGTCAAAAACAATCATGTTGTTCAAGAAGGAAAATTTTAAGAACTATCGCCCCATTTACCTGCTCCCAAAAGTCTACCAACTGTTCACTAAGATAATCACTAACAGATTGTCAACAAGAACGAAGAGCAGCAGCCAAGAGAACAGGCAGGATTCGGAATA